CGCATTACGACTTTTAATGTTTCCCACAGTGTTGAATCAGAGACCTCTCCGTTGTCATTTGAGTCAAGAAAGTCCTTGAGTTTGGGTGTCAATGTACACATTTCCATTAGGTAGTATTATTCCATTAGGCATAGCATACTTTTTTTTAAATACAGAAAAAGTTGGATATGTAAACCAAATGACATACACCAATTAGTTCAACTCCAGGAGTGTCTTAAAGACATAAAGAGTTCTAAGACGTCTAATTTCACTTTACTTCTAAATTCTGATGAAACTAGGGTTATTGCACTTGACCCTAAAAATCTTACAAATATGGTGTCCAACCAGATGCTTACTCTGGATGGCATTACCTCCAGTAACACTGGCAGGAATCCTGGAGTTGTTTTTGACCAAGATATGTGGTTTCTTTCATTTGCGCAACATCTATAATATTTAGAAACATTCTGTCTCAGATACTGAAAAAGTAGTAAATACACGTATTACTTCTAGACTGGACTACTGTCATTTGTTATTATCAGGATGTCTTAAAAGCTCTCAGAGAAGTTTTCAGTTGATCCATAATGCTGCAACGAGAGTAGTGACAGGGACTAGAAAGAGAGCATATTTCACCCAAACTGGCTTCTCTTCATAGGTTCCCTGTTAAATCCAGAATCAAATTTAAAATCCTTGTCATTACATACAACATTGTCACAACTTTAACACAACAGGCACTAAAGCAGGGGTGGGAACTCCAGGCCTCAGTGGCCGGTGTCCTGCAGGTTTTAGATGTGTCCTTGATCCAACACAGCTGGTTTAAATGACCAAATTACCTCTTCAACATGTCTTGAAGTTCTCCAGAGGCCCGGCAATGAACTAATCACTTCATTCAGATGTGTTAGTCCAGGGTGATATCTAAAATCTGCAGGACACCGGCCCTTGAGGCCTGGAGTTCCCCATCGCTGCACTAGAGGATGCATTTATTTTTAAATCTGGCTCGCCAGTAGACTTTTTTTAGCTATTGAAAAGATGATTTTCCCAGCATCTTTGAGAATTTGCAACATAAAACTTTGTTTTCAGTTCCTTGATATTTGGGGAAATCTCTTCCTTTAGCAATCTCCTGAGCAATTTTCCATTGATTAAAGGTATAAAAGGTATATATCTATTTCTACTGTACCAAAATCTTCAGATTATCACCAGCTAAACCCAATAAAACCCAAACATGCTAATTAAACTTATTTAACATTCACTATCTTTATCATTGTCTGCACTATTGCAGTTAATACTGCTTTTAGTCTTCAACTTCTAACATTAAAAACTATCATGTGCTGTCAAAATTCTTTGGGTTCACAACAGGACATCATTAAAAGGCAAGTGTTTTTCCTGCCATCATTTCAAACAATTTTGTGTATTTGTTTGGCAAGTATCGGCAAGTATTTGCTAATCTGCTCATCTGCCTTCACACACATCAAGTTGAGTGACATCCCATGGTTAATGCAAAGGGTTTAATATAATGTTGGCCCACCATTTGCAGCTATAACAGCTTCAAGTGTTCCGGGAATTTTTGACATTCTTCCAGAAGTGCATTTGTGAAGTCAGACACTGATGTTGTAAGAGAAGGCCTGGCTCACAGTCTCTGCTCTAATTTATCCCAAAGGTGTCAGGTTGAGGTCAGGACTCATGGACCAACGTACAAATTATGGGACTTTGTCCCCTTCTGTACTTTGCGTTGTGACTGGCTTGGATGCAGCTGTTTGGCCATTGAGACCAATTCCATGACATTCTCTATAAATTGCTCTTCTATATACACTGCACTATTCTGAAGGCCACATGAACTTTGGAGGTCTGTAGTGAGGCAGGAAGGTTGATGTCATATATACACTATGCACCTCACCTTTGTTATGATACCAGTAGCAGTTGACGGTGGGATAGTTAATAACAAGGAAATTTCAAGCCTGGACTTGTTGCACAGGTCGCATCCTATAACTGTGTCATGCTGGAATTCCCTGAGCTCCTGAGAGTGACCCATTCGTTCAGAAGAAAAGAAGAAGTAGACGCAGTTTGTACGCTTTCATCCTTGATTTTATATGCCTATGGCCACGATTAGAATATCTGAACTCAGTAATATGGATACTTTTGTACCATCTGTAAACAGCAGATGATAGGTGCAAACAACTAACGTCCTACAGCTGACTTTCCCAGCATGTTTATTGAATAAAAAAATACTGACATCAAGCTGAACCTGTGAGTTTCCAACAGGGAAATGCATTTTATACCCTTACCTGGACTATATATTGTTCCTGTTACAAAATGATATTGTTTTGCTTTGATCTCCTTTTTGTTTTTGTTTTTAAAAAAGGTCCCAATCCTCTACAAACATGTGTTGTTTCAAATTACAAAACAGACATTCCACAGTCAAATCCCACATGACTTCTTACCAGTCAGCGCAAACTGACTGTTGGCACAAGGTGTTATGCCCTGAATGATACAGTCAATCAATCTGTCACTCTTCACTTACATACCAAGGTTTTAGCAGATATGCATTAAGCAATCAATCATAAATAAATGTCTAGTTTCATATCTAATCATGTGTGAATCAGTTAACAGCAATTGTGCAACATTTAACCCTTTAAAGCCGGTCGGAGCAGGCATGCTCTGTTTTGCATAACTATTTTTAAATCCTGGTAGAACTGCAACCACGTAAGCTAGCGCAATATTTTTTTTTGCATATGAAACCGGAGGAGTTGTACTTACATCTTATGCCATCAGCTTTTCCTAGGTCACGGTTTCCTTCCACATGTAGCTTTGCAAAAATTGCATAAAAAGCGCTTGCAGCAACAAAAACATAATATTGCCGATCCGATCAGCTGTTCGTAACACTTCCTACGCTGGAATAGAACTATCACATGTCCGCCATTACCTGCCCGAAACAGGGAGTGACGTCATAATCTCGGAAATGTAGTTTTTTTACCATCAGGGCCTTGTAAGCCTATACTGGTGTTTTTAAAAATTATGTTTGACTTTATGACTTTCTGTGTCGTTTCTGGGATGCTTAGGACTCATATTGCACTGCTGGAAATAGTTTATTTTGATGCATATGCTGTTTTTTTGTTTGTTTTTTTTTGCAAATTTGCACTATAATATTTATTTTCGTTTTTCCTGCAGTACATAAAAATTGTTGTCTTTCAAAAATAAAACTATGAAGACACTCAAAATAAATTTCCTGTGGTTGGAAACTATTTTGTGCAACTTTTTTGTATTTACAGTTTTGAGGGATAAGCCTCTTAAATTTCTGTATTATATGTTAAAAAAAACAAAAACTTCTTTCAACATTTTTTCCAACAATTACTATGCACTTAATGCATACATATTATTAAAATTTGGGCTATAATGGTTGTATTGATGTATAGCAACTTGAAATGCTCCCAAACATTATTAAAATTTGGGCTATAATGGTTGTATTGATGTATAGCAACTTGAAATGCTCCCAAACATGGCACTACAGCATGTAAAAATATAATATAAGCTCTGGCGGACTTGGTTCTATGGTAGGTCTTAAAGGGTTAACTAACCACAGTTTTGCATATTTATCAAGAGTAGCCTAATGAGAAGCAAGCAAGCCAAATGGTAACATAGCTTCTAAGAACTTTTACTTTATTTGTAATACAGCAATAAATGGCAGATCTTTAATAATGCAGTTACTACAGGACTTTTGCAACTTTATATGTTTATGAAGCAAAGTAGTTTCCCTAATAAGGGTATTACAACTACTAAAATTAAAGATTTCTGAGGAAAGGTGTTCAAGGAAATTAAAAAAGTAAGCAAAAATATATATATAGTAAAATAAAAGAACTGTTTGAAGTATGATACCTATTCACTTACCAGGATAAGGCACATGGAACCATGGAGAGTTTGTAACAGCATCCAGGTTTATGTCGGTTCTGGCTGAGAAGCCATACTTATCAGACTTTGAAGGCAGGACATCAAAAATGGTCAGCAAGAAACAGATAAGCCAGCCACCACACATGCCAAACAAAACCTGGAATTTGTTATCAAAAACAGAAAAACAAAAAATTTAACTAATACAAAAAATGCAAGTCCGAATTTGTTTTCAGTAACACTTTGAGGTGATAAGATGTTCCACGTGACTCTATCTTAAAACCAATAAACCAGCCCTTTCCATCCACACCCCTTCGTCAAATGTAAGATGGTGGTGACAGCTTAAGCACGATCACATTATTGATCAATTTGGTAGATGTACTTCTGCAGCTGTCATAAATATGAGCCTGAATACATGTGCATACAGTTTGTCTGGGACTCCAGTGGGTTTTTTTTAATCATCGCATTTGTACAGGGATTACATGGGAGAAAAGAACTGTGCACATGAATGCTTTTATTTAGGACATATCGAGGAAAGTGAAAGCATAACTCATAGTCAGGCAAACATGCAAGCAGAATGAGCTCATTATATTATCTAAATTTCTGCCCTAAAGTCATCATGATACATTGATCTGTAGAATCCATGAATGAAGATAACTGAGTGGGATTCATGGAAAGTTCATGGGTAAACTTGAGATAATTAATTCTAGAAGATTTCAGTTACCAAGTATCATATCCATTATAATGATAGCCTAAAAAAGAATATGACTTGACAGAAGATTGTGTGTACTTCTGTTTGTGGGTACACATTATGTGTGGGTACACATTATGTGTACACAATCTTTTCTTAGATAGAAAGAAAAATACCATATTTTATGATAATGAATACTGATGAATAGCTAGAGCAGTTAAGCATTGTTTACTCTAATATCAACAGGCATTTAGATGTTGTTGGTGTTTTCAGACTTTTCTGGAAATATTTCTACCCACCATTTGATGTTTTGCCATTCTTTTAATTCTCTATTTGTTTAGTAGCTTAAAAAGAAAGCCATGGATGATGCTGTCATCAAAACTTTTTTTAATTTTCTTTTATCTGCAGCAGAGATGTAGCTGCTGATATGAAACAGATCTCATTCTAGAAAAATGTTTATTGAAAGCATGCCAAGTTTTGATGCTTGTTGTCTTCTTGGGAGCCACAAAAGGATTGTGTTTCAGCCGAGCACAGACACTTTCAAGGTATCCCATTGCATGAACATGAAAGAGGAAAGAACAACAGCTTAAAAATAAATTATATTATTTTTTCTTTCTATTTTCAAAACGATTTTTTCAAAAGATTTTTTTCCCAGTGTAATGTTATCAGCACTATAGACTGCCATAATAATGTTTAAAAGTAGAGGCAATATCATCCCTACACAGAGTTAAAAGGCAGATTCAACATACTAGTGTTTAACAAAAAGTCAAATTGTAAACTTGTTTTCAGTATACAAATGTTGTCTATTATACAAATAGACAACATTTAGTTTTTTCAAGTCTAACTTGACTGGCAGACTTTGACTTGACTCCACATGATTTCACAACTTATTTTTCATTAAATTTTTTATGAAGCAAGGTTAGGATGGTCGAAACTGTTTTTTTGGGGTCCCATCATTTAATTTGATCTTTTTTATCACAACGGAAAGCAAGTGAAACATATTAGACTTGGAAATTTTGACAACTCACAGAGAACAGCTTGAAGAGTGGATACTGGAACACCATCCATTTTTTATTCTTGTAAGAAACCATTGGAACATCAACGTTGCTGAGATATTGGGAGAACAGTAGAATCAGACCCACTGTGCTATAGGAAAAAAGAAAATGGGATAAAATGTGTTAATCATAGTAATTTCCCCAAAGGCTTGGCCCTTGCTTCCAGCTATTTGTGGAATTTCTTTTTAGCAGGGCATGGTTCACTGTTACAGGGAGGTCAGGGCAAGTGAAAACATGCCACTTTACACAACAGGCATGGCTGGTACTTGACACCTGAAAATGATATGTTTTTGTAACACTTTAAATGTGATGAAAGATGTCATACTGTGCATGAATACTGGTCAGATAGAAGTAAAGAGGTGATTTACAAATAAGCTGTCCATGTCTGCTTCTACAAGCTGCAGGATATGGACTGACACTTCTATTGATGGATGAGGGCCAGAGAGAGACTGCTGAAGTTATGAAGGATATGACTGATTACTATCCATATATGGCACCAGGAGTTGGATGTGCTCAACCTTTTAAAACCCACAAATATCTCTCTATATAACAGCATTAGTCTGCATTATCTCAAGATAGAAATGTTAAATGAAGACAGATTTCACAGGGTAGCACTAGACAGGGCACAATTCTTAGCTGGAGATGTGGATTAACACAGTCGGCATTTATGTTTTAAAAATAAATGAGGGTAAATTTGTCAATATAGAATTAATGTCATGATGCTTGAGACTGATTGTGGTTTTTGAATTTGACCCCATATTTCAGTCTTGGTTAATGGTCGATGTTCATGGTGGTTCTAGTATTTGAAGATTTTATTTTTATTTTTATTTTAGGATTTTGGTTTGGTGTTTTGATTTCTCTCAGTGTCCATTTCAAAGTGTCCGCATTCATGTTTGTCAGGCTCTTTTGGCTTCTTGTTGTTTTATTTGTAGGTTTGCATCATTTGTGTGATTAAATACCAAGGGTGAACCAGAAAGCAGAGCCAATGGAAAAGGTAATCAAATAGTTTCACAGCCTTTATTGGCACACAGAAAAGATGGATATAAGTACACAGGGGTCATGGGAGTTACCAAAGAGGAGGAGAATGGCTTCAGAATGATCAGCTCGGAGGAGAGAGAGGACCTCAAAACAAAACAGCGCCCAACTATAAAAGTGCTTTCTAGAACTGGAAGTATAATTTCTACTGGCGGATATGCATTTAAGAGCACGTCTTCCCATGGACTGGTTCTTATGTTGTGCTTTTCTACTCTGCTCTGAGTACTCAAAGCACTATACACTGACTCATTCACCGATTCACACCCATTCATAAAAGAATTCTTTTTGTATGCTTCTTCTACATAAGAGCTTTCTATCTAACATTCACACATTGCATTGGAGAGCAACTTGGGGTTAGTATCTTGCCCAAGGAGCAGGCAGGGATCGAACCACCAACCTCATGATTAGTAGGTGACTTCCTCTCATAGGTAGAGCGGGTCTCTGTTCTTTGCCAGGTATGGCATAGAACAGAAGGAGAGAGTGTTCGCCCTGGAAGCAATAAGATCTACTTTCGCCTGGCCAATATATATCCCATACCTGAGCTTCTACAAAGAGTGCTTCCAGAGAGAAGAGCCCCAGGTTCAGATGGCCTGTAACATGGGTGGCTCTTAAGAGACAGAAAATGCTTGAGTGCTGGTAAGCACTGGTATGCGGCTCATGCTGCACTGCATTTCAGACTCTTCTCATGGATGCACCATTGCACAGAGACATCTGTGCATACCACCTTGGAAAGTAACATCCTCCGAGTCTGAGAGCACTGGTGCAGCATCCTGGACTCCCTTCAGGGGCAGAGAGCTAGCATAGAAGGTGTGGTTATTGTCACCCTCAACTAAAGGTGATACAATGCCCACAGTGAGAAAGAGTACAGAACTGTAACATCATTTTTAACAGTGTGAGTGGCACTATGACAATGACAGATACCATCTTTAAGATCATTTTGAAATGTGTCACAATCAAATGTAGCCACTGACAAACAAATAAAGGAAAAATCAAAGATATTTCCAGCCTGAGGAAAATGTTCTGCTGGTTTGAGGTTAGGAAGCTCCTCTGAAATTTCACAGAGAAACCCAGAGCCTGGATGTTTAACACAGACAGAGCCAGCTGCATCTCTGCACGTACTCTGACCCACCAATCATGTAGATAGGCTAAAATGTGGAGGCCCCCCACTCAGAGGTGAGCTAACGCTCCCTTGGCACATTTAATGGAATTGCAAGGAGTGAGAGACAGCCCGATGGCAGCAACAGATATTTGCAAGCTACACTCCTGAAAGCACACTTAAGAAACTTATAAACTTACAGTTATGAACTGTATGTACAAAAAGTGCTCGAATATAAATGTGTGATGCATTTAAATCTGTCTTACATCTAATATTTGATCAAATGTCCTTTAGCAAGTTGCATATTCCACAGATGGTTTTGGTAGCTCTTGCCTGACTTTCAAGCATTGTTCACATTTTTGTAGTTTAAGGTTAAGACTTTGAGAAAGGTGTTGCAAAAGCTTACCATTGCCCTGGTTTATCCATTTCACAACCAGTCCATTACACCAGCTTTAATGTGTGCTTGGGGTCATTGCCCTGTTGTAATACCCAATTGTATCTAAGTTACAACTGATGCTTTCGAGCTATAATGAAGAACTCTGAAGTAGTCTGCCACTGTAATTATTAAGTCCACTGTGTTTTGTACCATTTCCACTGGTACACTGCAGTATGTTGTTATAGCTCTGTGCTTAACAGCTGGTATAGTTTTATTTGGGGTTGAATGCCTGAGCCTCACTCCTCCAACAATACTTGTGGTAACTATGGTCAACTTAATTTCTGTCTAATTTGAACATAAAACCTTTCTTTGCAAGCATTCGCTTCAGAGGAATTATGGAAAGCTCAGTATTACCAAAACATTCAGGTCCATGGTGAGTCTATGTCTTTTGACAGCAACCATAGAGGCAAGTGGCAAGTAAAGCAACGTGTGAATATGGGTTTCCTGTCCAGTTAGAATTATATGCTTTGATATAATAAAGACAGAATTAGGACTGGTAGACACTTCTGATGAGCTTAGAGACTTCTTTCAACATCTTTTCCAACATAAAGCTAATCAGGATTTTAACTCACAGAGCAGCTATTCCCCAGTGGCCTCCAGACTTCTTTCCAGCCTCAGTAAACAGTGACAGACCAATGAGATTGATGGTGGGAGCGATAGCCAGAGGACCAATATATCTTAGCACAAGGCCCACCAGCCCAGATAAGCCTAGTGTGAGCTGAAGGAGAGAGGATACCAGAATGGCTCCCTGGATCTGTGGAAGATAAGACAATAAGGACGTAATGTCATTCCCTATGCCAACATAAAGGTTTCATATCTAAAATTAAATGCTGTGCATCTTTTGCCATTATAATGCTTTCGTTTAACTTTAACCTTTCAAAATTAAGTTTTAGGCCTTTTGCAGAACTCAGTTTTAGAACATGAAACTCTAAAAACTGTTCAAGTTAAAAGTCTGAAATTTTCACTGGTTTGACCCAAAATCTGAAATTTGGGACAGATAAAATTGAAACAGACTGTCTATTAGCGATTTAAAAATAGCAGAATTCAAGCAGTTGTGTAATTTGAGCACATGCTAACAAAGAACTTCACATTGACAGCTAGTCACAGTTTCTAAATAGTATGTACTGTGCGGCCTCTGATGAGAAATATCTATCTATCTATCTATCTATCTATCTATCTATCTATCTATCTATCTATCTATCTATCTATCTATCTATCTATCTATCTATCCACCTATCTATCTATCTATATATGTTATTTGTTATTACTACATGTTACTTTAATTCAAATTCAAATGCAATTTAGACAGACTGTTCTGTCTACCACTGGTAAACAGAGCAGTCACCCGAGACTGCAAGACCATACTGACCAGCCTGTGCACCGCCTGGATTGACTGCAAGAAAGCCTATGACTTGATGCCCCACACTTGGATCCTAGATCAACAGGACTAAGAGGAACTCTGTGGGGATGTGGGGAAAAACACTAGAGGCCATCTTCAAGCGAATAGCATGTTGCCATCAAGTGCAGGATCTACCAAGGAGATGCTCTGTCCTCACGCAAGGAGCAAGAGGAGGAGCATTCATGGAAGGGTAAAGACCGTCTGCAGGGGCGAGAGGATAAT